GGTCTAAGTTACAGGCTGACTTCAGGTCTGGTTTACATGATTGTTGAATGAAATTAACATAATTATTAATTTATTGTAAAAACATGACAGATAATCTGTGAAACAGATCCAGTTCAGCTGCTGTTTATCTGTCAGTTTCTATGGAGTCTGTGAGCTGTTGTCCTGTTAGGTCTGTTTCTGCTCCTCCATGATGTCACAGACTCTAACAGCGGACAGGATGGGCGGGACTCAGTCTAGTGATCTATTAAGTCTATGGTGTGTTTCAACAACAGGAGAACAGCTACAAAAGCATCAGTGCACCCAGAATGGTTAGTTTGGAGTGAGGATGAGGTCATAATAAATCTAAAAGAAGTTTGGTGAACAGTTTTGATTGTCAAAAGGAAAAAAATAGTATTTACAATTTTTTTCCTTTTGATTTTTTTACCTGGATTACTGAGATGCATCAGGACAGTTTTGATTGTGTTTTCCAGAAAACACAACTGTTTTAAAGATAAAATGCTTTTTGCTTCTAGATGTGAATGAACAGGATGTGAACTTGTAGAAAAGGACTGGATGAGCCGTGGGTTCAGGGTTCAGGTGGACCTCCACTCACTGAGCATCGGTGAGAAGAAGACCTCTGAGGTGGGGCTGGTTCTCTTCCACTTGTAGAGAGGAGCAGGTTTCCCAGATTTGGACAGACACGTCAGCGTCACGTTTCCCTTCAGCACCGGCTTCTCTGACACGGAGCATTCAGGAACAGAGGGAGGAACTAGAGGAGGAACAGGATGGTTTACATGATGTTTGAACTCAGAGTTTCACACACAGCTCTTCTCTTACCTTTCACATCCAGGTCAAACTCCTCAAGAAATAAAGGAATGATCTGACACATGTAGTGTCCTGAGTCCGAGTCCTGCGTGTTGTTGATGTACAGAGACACGTCCTGTGAGGGCATGCTGGCAACAAAACCAGCACGGCCCACAAACTGGGAGGAGCCTAAATCGATCTTTCCTTGTGTGTAGCTGATGATCTGCAGAGACAGAAAGCCTGAGTCAGAGGTGACACCACACACAAGTCCTTCCTTACAGAGGGACACGTTGTCTCTGAACACTCAGAGGTTTGGAATCAGAACCATCTCCTGCCCAGACAACTGAGACATTTCTTAAAGGCACACAGCTGTATCATCTCTGCTCACTTTCATCAGACCTCTGTGTCCCAGGTCATCAGAGTGAACACCTTAGATCTAACCTTTGTTCATCCATCTATCAGCAGACTCAAAGTTTAACCAGCACAACAGCTCAGGTCCAACCTAAACCTAAGAAATGTTTATATCTGCCTTGGAAACTTCAGGTTTTTATGCATCCGGCCCACTAACTCAGAGCCGGCTCTTGGCATTGGCGAACTAGGCGGTCGCCTAGAGCGCCATCTGCTGGAGAGGGTGGCAAACTGCAGGAAAAAAGTTATTATTTGTAATCCCTGGTTGTAACTCCGTTCAGCGCCCCTTTCAATTAGCTTTGTCTTAAAAAAACAATAATGAAGTATTACAGGAAAAATAAACTACCCATAAAACATTCCCCCCAATGCAACAATCGCCCCCACCCTCTCTGTCATTTGATTGACGTTGCACTGACTCGTCCTGCTCCGACACTGTGATGGGGGAGGGGCTAATAGTGCCTCTCAGGTTGACATCAAAGCAGCCCGTTGATCCTGCTGACATCCATTCTGACACAGTGAGGAGTGAGTCTGTCAGCAGAGGACCTTATGAGGTAAAATCAGACTTATATTTTCCAAAAAGACAGGACCTTCTAAATCTTTGCACAAATTGTGAACAGGTTCGTTTTTTTACCCTTTTCATTTGATTTAATTATATTTACTTTATTTATTCATTTAATTTGTTGCGTGATGTATGTTTGTGTTTAAAGCAAATAAATCTAAGTTTACCATAGTACCTGAC